CATAACGAGAGATTATTTTACCAATATATGTACTGTCTAGATATCTTCATCTCCTTTCTTTGGACTTTTCTTACTTGCGTAGTTTCCTGTTGTCTTAAATGATTCATATATTGGGTGTCACGTGTACTTTCACCCAAACTGACATTCACACATTGTGTAACGAATCGTGTTTGGCGTAACGAGCAAACGCTTTAAGCACTAACGCCCCATGCTATTGATTAAAACATGCATATCGTGTTAGTTCCACGTATCACCACACTCACATCTTTAAATCAGACCTCACATGGCACCAAGTGCACTAGCTATCTAGATCAATAATAATTAATTTAGATATCTACCCCCTAACCTTTATCTGCTAGATGTGTTCGATAAAATAAACGTGGGAAAACATCCCAGTGGAATCAGCAAGGCGTCCTAAAGATGACTTTTGACGCCAGTTAATCCTGCATTACGGTCGAAATATTCTCGTATTTCTTTGAGCGACTCTAAACGTGCAATATACCAGTCTGTGAATGTGTACCGCTGGCTAGCTGGATCTAGAATGATTTTGACGTAGATGTGCAGCAAACGGACATCACGTACAAGCATCATTGTGATTCCGTATCAATCCTCAGAAAATAGAAAACGGTCACGCAAGGAAACGTTCTTGTGTTCATAAGATAATAGATTTTGGAGAGATGATGTCTGATATATACATCTCACATGAACGAATGCATGGGTGTATTTTTTATTCATTTCTATATAATATTCTGAATGTCATTGACAATTCATGAAGTCTCCAAATAGGCACGTTTCAATGATTGCTCCTTCAGTTTGTATATTATAAATCAAATTTGTCAGGTTCGCCGAAAGAAGGTCTCTGATGTGACGTCCCTTAATTGCCTTGAGACTACTTCCTGTCTGTAGTCATCTGATAAGGAACTCAATCAATCCTTCAATCCAATTCATCGGTTTTGAGTGTTCATAAAAGTGTCTTTGATCGTATATAGTCTGCAGTATTGTCAGTGCCTTACGAATCCACACAACAAATTATGGCGTCACTCATGACCTTTGTGTTATAAATTAATGCGCCATTAAGTCATAATAACAGACAAACTGTGCATCGATTCGGTTCTAAAATGGTGAGTTTTGAAAGTGTAAGGATCAGATCTCTGCTCACGCGTCATCTCACAAGTTGTTACTTTAAAACGTATCTCGCTTTCGTTAAGTACACTTGGAAAGATAAATGGTCTCTGACAGACATTCTTGTAGTAATCCCTATTCATAGAAGCGAGCGTCAGATAATACAGTAAGGCCCAGACAGCAATTACTGATTGTTTCGAGTAAATGGTATACTGTTTAAAAGAGTTGAAGAACAACAGACCAGATTGGAAGCTCGACCAAAGCGCCTACAGTCTGTGTTTAATGGTCAAGATTATTTCATGTGACTTTTAGAATTTGTAAGATAGGCCCCCGTCTCCCAGTCGGGTGCATTGCAGATCATGCGGTCATGGCTGCCTTGAAATTAGCATGTGGTCATGAGCAGTGCATGGACTATGCTGCTGTTCATCGTAGATCGGTCTGGTGTTGTTTGAGATGGGATACAACACTCAAGGCCTCAGTAAAGCTTTTCTAAATGTTGTATGGGTGACATGTGCTAGATATCCCCAATCTTGACACATCAGGGACAAAAGTCATGTCCGATGAGGCAGGACAAGCACATGGAAAATAGGAGGCAAGGCTATTTCAATAACACAGTTCGTCTTCTTGAATTCTATGCCATGTTCCCCTGTTTATGTGTTGTTTTTTGGGCCGGTCGGTTTGTTGACTTGCCTTTGCATGTGTTTGTGATGATAGCCACAGATGGGACACCTAGTTTTGTCAATATCACTGGTAGTTACATAGACTTCTCAGAATATGGTTGGAATCTTACAATGGATCTGTGTTCTTTGCAGAGAAATGGTTTTTTCCCCTTTAGATGAACAAATTTAATCCGTCAGCACAAGACAATAATTTTTGTGTCAAAACAGATTCCACAGTGCATAATAGGGTGAACGTCTTATGAATAAATAACTGAAAATGACGACACTGGGTGTTTGCGTAAAAGGCATGGTAATTCCATCATAATTACCTGTTGTTGTTGGAGAATCACAGCATGAGTCAGGATGGTTTAACGCCGCTTTGGATTTTTTTCAGCTCATGAACTGAGACGCTTGAAGGGATAGTGAAACCTATTCTTAACATCATTAATTTTACTCGAAATGTGAGACCCAGGAAAAATAATTTGTCAGAACATCTTGAAATAGATCCCCTGGGCTTCGAATCCTTCAGACGACATGGTAGTGTTTGTCTTTTTCTAATGTTTTTGCTAATTTACTAACGAAAGTTTTGGAGAAAGAATTTTCAAAACACGTCAATAGTGTACAGTGAATTCAATGTGATTCCACCTTTCTTCCGTAATACTCAAGCATTATCTCGGCTAATATTGCTTGATTATATCTGAGGATCGGACGAATGCTATAACCACCAGGCTACCCCTGCAGCCCCGCCAGTATATTAAAGAATTAAATGGTAAAATAACAAAATCATCACGTTGCACCTACATTAAAATAGTGCAAAACTATATCCATACCAGCATACATGTCCGCACATAGGCGTGCACAAACATATTAATGGTCATTCAAGCACTAGACGCATGATGGCCCTGATGAAAAAAGACTTCAAACAAACCGTTCTGGTTAAGGTTTTCTTGACCTTCAAACGATATTCGTCCACGTTCATCTAAAACACACCCGAGATTTGACTCGGCTCCGGTGCATACGAATCTGTCTCTGAGGTTATCTTGTTTTACAATTCAAGTCAGGCTTTTGTCAAGTTAAATAATACTCATCTGCTACTGTGTAGCTAAACCCTTGGACCCGTCCCACAAGACCACGTCTTACGCTCCATGGTCTTTGAAGTATGAGACGTCGCTTTCAGTCCTTCTAAATAGGATTTAACGTCCGTACACAGCGAGGGATCACATTTGAGCCGAGATGAGTGGATGCGATGTTTGTTTGACGTTGCAATGAGCACCATACGGAAGTATATTAAAAAACAAAAAACCAAAAATATCTAACAGGATTATAAAAAGACGCTCGATGGATGTTGTAAATGAAAAAGCTGTCAAAGAGATTGGAACAAATGCTGTGAACGGAATCCATGCTCAATGAAGCCAGTATAATGGGAAAGCATTGGAATGAGAGGAGAATTTAGAAGGATGTGGTTAAGGATGGTCGTTTTCTGTTTTAAGTGTTTTTCTAATGTGATATATTTTGAAACTCACAACAAATTTCTCTCCAACTGTGAAAGGGAGGGAATCACATTTCATTCTTGTGTCGTTGTTTTCTTGCTGTCTGCATTTCAAATTTCACACTTTGCAATACAGAGACATAATTTTAATTCTCCAAACTGAATTCAAGAAGTCTCCTCAGTCTTTCTGTGTTTAAATATACACATGCACTCTTCTGTGTTCACATATACACATGCACTCTTCTCTTCCACTTATTGTATTCTTCGATTATCAACATGTTGCTGGAGTGAGTGAGTGAGTATACTTTTATGCAACTTTTCTGGCAATAATAAAGCAGTTAGAGGGAATCAACCCGAGTCTTCGATGTGACGAGCAAACGCTTTCACTACGAGACCTCTCTTCCAACTTCAGCAATCACATTGTGGATGGAAGATAGCTTCTAACCAATACTCATATTGATATCTTAATGGGAGAGATAGTATGGTTTTACGAATGTTGTCAATCCTTCTGTGGACACCTGATATGGCTTCACACATTATACACAATTAAGAATCGAACCTGACACCCGTCGTAAAGAACGAACTCTTGACCACAAAGCTTCGGCACATCCATCAAAAATGTATAACAGGAATGTTGTCTTGATTTGACAGGTACCATATCAGTGCTCATCCGTTTCAACAAAATGTCAAGCCTCCACCATGCGGCACTTTCTATGCACTACAAGGCGTCTGACAGAACTGAAGAGCTTTTCTTTGCAGCATTATGTGCATCTCATTTATCTGCATTTTTAGTTGTCGATATGCATCCTGTAACTTGAAATAGTCTGTGTATAAGTGATCTTTATAATCCGTATGTGTCGCTTCAAGTACGGATCTAAAATGTAACCGGCTTAAAAAAGTTGACATTCAAATTGAAGTGGTGGCTCAAGTATGCAAGTCTTTTACAGAGTTGGTGTCCAACTCTAAGTAGCACGTGTATAAAACCAACCGGCTTTCGAAAGCTTCCATTAAGAGCAGTACGTGTATCAAATTAGCCTTTTGCAATGCTGCTGTCTTACTTCAAGTAGAATGTATGCAGAGGCTAGCTTTATGTAGATATGCCATTTGTGTATGAGGTCAAAATGCTGTTTACTTATACCTGTCATTCTCACAGAGGCATATGGATCCATAAACGGGTATATGAACGTAGAGTTGGTGTCACTGTCATCTTCTACCATAGTTCTGCATAAACAGACAGGAAAGCACACTTAAAGCCGTTTTATTTTGTGTGTAAAGCGACACTCAGTAACAGTCCAGGTACATGAAGACGGTCCGTAAATGAACGCATCTGGACAAGACAATCCAGTTACTGATAATATGACCGTCGATTAGGGAGTAAGATGATGTGCGTCAACCAAGTCGTTGAGGCTGACCATCTCTGCATTATTTACCGAACACCTGTTGTAACCAGGATGATGTGTATATGTAATTGTAGAGATCAATACCTTTATCGCGCAGATACTGAAACCGGTGTATTGAAGACGTGTTTTGTATCATGATGAACACTTGTCCGAGAGACTGACTGACTGACTGAGTTTAGTTTTTACGCCGCTTTTTTAGCAATATTCCAGCAATAATACGGCGGGGACACCAGAAATGGGCTTCACACATTGTGCCCATGTGGGGAACCGAACCCGGGTCTTCGGCGTGACGAGCCAACGCTTTAACCACTAGGCTACCTCACCGCCCCTTGTCCGAGAGACGAGTGTGCTGATTTGTAGTAGGATTTAGTAGCATTCCGATGATATTACGGCGGCTGACATCAGAAACGGGCCTAAGACGTTGTACCGATATGACGAATCGATCACAGGCTATCGGTTCGACGAGTGAACGCTCAACAGCTAGGCTACCCCACCGCCTCACAGACTAAGCCTTGTGCGCTCGAAGTGTTGATGTAAAGATCAATTATTGTACCGATGTGTTCCTTCCTTGGTTTCTCACTCCAAACACCTCAGTTGGCAATGAATTCTGTTATTAATGCATATGCGATGCTATGTTTGAGATTTGAACCTTATAACCAGAGTAAATGATGGTCTCTAGATCATATTTCGACAGATCTGTCAAAAGTTCTAGAAAAAACGGAATACAGTTGGCACTGTTGCTGCGATCCATCTGACCGCGGGCATCCGCAAGCGGGCTTGTCAAACGTGACAAATGATCTGTATGCTATCTAATTCAATTTTCCATGCATTATTAATCGAATACTCACATCTGATTGCGAACCGATAGCAATCAGACTAGACAGTCCTGCCCTTCCGTCCAAGTCTCCAAACAGATGTGACTAACGGACTTCTATGACATTTAGCCAATACTGAGCGTGTTGTAGGAACAAGGAAATGTTTTCACGCGCTGCAAATCCAATCCGCTTTCTGCGCGAGGCTTGGGGCTAGAAGCGTGCAACCGATGAGGGCCCAAACAGTTCCCGGGTTGATTGGCAAACATCACGCCATCTACCTCGCTGGACAAGTCATTATAAGGCAATCAGCACGACCAAACTGATTTACTTATTCCACCGAATGTTACTGCAGTAACAGTTCCAGGGACAGGCGTTCTGATGTGTAAACTGCAGCCATCTTGGATCGATAAATTGACTTGTGGGTGGAGTGGAAAAGGGGACAGAAGGCCGGTCAAGGGTACACGGAGCTAGGGGCAGAGCCCTGCACAGGCCAGACCGACCCCTAGGGATGCACATGAAGGACCTACTGTCGTTTGTGAAAACGTGATCATTACCGCAGATTAGATAGGAAATCCATACACAGCTACCGTTTTGTTCCGCAAGGTTTCTTCTGTCAAATCCAGAAAGAAATTTGTGAAACGGATTCCGCTGAGGTGAGTAACAATCGAATAATGAACTGCTTTGTTTGAATGTCCAGACCACACAGCATCTCATCTATTTGTTCAACTCCCTCCGCGCAAATACCATGCAAGGGCTATAAAGATTCCGACCACGAAGAGACGCTGGGGATTGTATTTGTTTCCTGGGTACATCCCCAAGCATATATACGTGATTTCTGTATTAAGGAAGCGTTACCCTTGTGCAGCAGGCATTCATATGGGTATAGTGATTTGATGAAGAGTCTAGGTGTGTTATCTTGGACGTCTATTGATAGAGATCGCATTCTGTGATAGCTGACCGACGAGAAACTGAGCAGGGTTAGTTCTTCGCTGGATTTCACAACCAGACACATTCGTCACATTTGTAATTCCGTCACGACTGTTGATGAAAAGCCATATTGCTGTGTTAGACAGAAGTCTCCTGCCGGGAGCTTAGCGTGTTGAATACAGACGAATATGGTTTCTTGACAAGGGGGACAACAACAATGTTGTGTCATATCAAACATGCTCTATGTATTTCATTAAGGATATACTATATGACATCTCTAATCATATACTGTAGGATATATCAAATCAAAGTTATAATGAAAAGCTCGTTTGTATATATATGTAATTGAGAACAGGCTTTGTGAACCACATTCAACAAAACCGATGTAGACTAAGTACCACTTAGATATGAATACAGACATATAACTGGAATAAAACTAAAGTCACTCACTACATACGAATATATGCATCTGTATATCCAATTACCATTGTTTCCATTTCAATAATTATTTTAACTTAAACATGAGTATTTTCTGGGTAAGACGATGATATACGTTAGGTTTTACAACGTTTCAGATTGTCAGTAATAGTTTAACATATAAATAGCCCATCGTTTTCAACAAGTTTTGAAATCACAATTTTTTTATCAACAATTACAAAGATTATTCTTAAACATGTAAATATGTGACTTGCACTCTAAAGAGGTCAGGTGGGAATTTGTATGTTATACCATGGGTACGGCATTATAATTTCATTCAAAGCCTACTTCACTAATTTGAATAATTCTGGGCATACGTATGCCTTCCTTGAATATAATTTCCCTTATCCTCGGTCATATCGACTATCGCTGCAACGGTAAAGCTTTCATCGATCTTCTGTTTTGCTTGCAAACGGTCGCCTAATATATCACTTTAGCAAAACGAAGACTGATTGCAAAGAATAAAAGATTATCGACGACAAATGCGTTTCCAGAAATTTGGAAAGGTTTGACCTCGGTGATCTCACAAAAGTTCAATAGATCTCTCAACGAACATTTTTAACTACCGCTGGGTAAATGTACAAATCGAACCCGAAAATTAATTAATTGTATTCGGGGTTGAGTTGTGTAGAACGCACTAGGGCCGTGCACTCATATTGTGGAGGAATCCCATTAATTCAAACCGAAAACTGAATCGATGAGAAGAGGTTATCCTTTTGTCTGCCTCAGGACCATTTGTGTTGCTCTGATGTTCATCGTCTGTGAAAGGAGCATGGTAATTACCTGGTTTGGTGTTGTTATAACAAATTGTCCTTCACGTTGTTTGGTGAAGATAGTAAGTGTGCGTTGGAGATGTTTCCAATGGTGCTTTGTCTGTTTTGATTACTTTAGATCGATACATAGACAGTGGGGGAACCAAAGTCTGTGCGTGTAAATGTGCACATTGTCTAAGGTTGCAATAAGTCCCGTCGTCTTTAACCACACGGAAATCTTGATTGCATATATTTTCTGGGTTGATGATACTAGTTAGACAACACAAGTGGGACTTGTGGGGGATTATCTTTGCAGACCATTACTAAGCCCGTTAGTAGTTGACATGACATCTTTTAAGATGTTCGTGGAAGTGCAAGGGCGTTGGAAATAGTTGGGTGGAATCGATTGTTGTGGGTGAGTGGTATTTCTTAAGGTGGTAAAATACCAGCCATAAACGACTGTTGATTCTGCCATGGGGGATCGAAGATGCCCATTGAGTTCTTTGGTGGTGCAGGCGGAAGGGAATAGACTGACTGGGGAAGGAATTAAGGCATAGATTTCCCATACAGATCGTCAAAGATCCTTCTGCGAAGTCCAACCTTTATGAGAGCCTTGTCTAGTCCCGTAAAGTGCCATTTATTCTTGTCACTTCGGTAAGATGGATTCGTTTTGTCTGATTTCAGTGCTTAGCCTTTCTAATGAGTTCATTCTTAATACTCTTGGTTTTGATTCAACGGTATTTAAGAAACCCATGCCTGCAAATGTACGTAACCTTCCCAATAAGTTCATTTCCATACTTATGACTAGAATTAGAGAATATAATCAATTACCCTTGGCGATCTTGGACAGGATTGGTTTTCAGCAACCCATGTAAGAGGCAACTAACGAGATCGGGTGGTCAGGCTCGCAGACTTGGTTGACTCGTGTAGTCGTATCCCAAGTGGAAAGATCGATGCTCATGCTGTTGATCACTGGATTGTGTGGTCCAGGCCCGAATATTTACAGACCGCAGCCATACACCTGATATATTCCTGAGTGTGGCGTAAAACAACAAACATTCAAATATAATAATCAGTCTCGACCATTTTCCGAAACAGATCCCATAGGGTGTTAAAGGCCAAATAGTGAAGAAAATAGTTAATGGACCACCGAAAACTATTCATGACAACAGGCATTGTCGAAGAGGGTTCGCATGTCCTGCTCCATCCGTAGCACCCTCAACACACCAATACCTGCAACTATTATTATGAATTTTGAAATTATACGTAACGAGTCTTCACAAAGAATCAAAATCTGAAAGTACAGGACTTCATGATTTCCCAAAATATGTCTGAGCAAACGTTTTTCTCTAAACTGAAGTTTTACGTGCGGTGATCATCTTCGTTTTAATAATAATAATAATAAATAATAATAATGGATATTTTTAGCGCGCCATTTACCACCCACTGATACATGCTCAAGGCGCTAAGCATTAGACGTCAGATGAAATATTACTAGTAAATATACTCATGGAAACGAATAACGGAACACCTGAAAGTACAAGTGTTGGTTTATTCTCTTCCAAGTTTCTTCACAAGCTTTGTATTGCACTGTGGGTGAAATTATGGAAAAGAATAAAGGAAGACTTGTACTTTCGGGGTGTTCCCTTATTCGTTTCCAAGAATATATTACTTAACATAATATGATTTACATGGCAAACTATCTTTAAACGTAGCCAGTGCTTATTATAAATACGCAAACACACAACGAATGTTCTTCGGTCCAAGGGGGCGGTGGGGTAGCCTAATGGTTAAAGCGTTGGCTCGTCACGCCGAAGACCCGGGTTCGAATCCCCACATGGGTACAATGTGTGAAGCCCATTTCTGGTGTCCCCCCGCCGTGATGTTGCTGGAATATTGCTAAAAGCGGCGTAAAACCAAACTCAGTCAGTCAGTCAGTCTTCGGTCCAAACCTCCACGCTCCAAAACTTTCCGACTCGGCTGATATTATGTACACCAATCCCAAATGAGACGTATCCATAGACAGACAGAGGGACTGAAAGACTGACGTTCAGATGATGAAAACATGAAAATTTTAAATCTGTTGTTCACTGACAAACAGACAAACAACATGAAAGACTGGAATAATGCAATCCTATTTTTAATTACTGACAGACAAACATTCTGAAAAACAGGCAGATGATAGGAAGGTTTGATTACTATTCAAGCTATTGTTCATTTCATCGATTTGTAGGCCGTGTGACAGTATCATGTTCCACGTACTGATATATATGTATCGGTGATGTTATTGACAAGATAATTATTTGCGGACTGGTATTAGCACGTTAAAGCCTATCTTTTTTGCAATATGTATATCTGATATACAACACCACACATCTCCGAAACTATTATTACGAATTCCAGCGAGAAAGAAAAACAAAATTGATTTCCAACCTTTGAAAGCATGTGGTAAATGGATGAAATTTTGTGTCTTCTATGACTAAAACATGAATTCATAGATATGAAAAATATGGATTTTACATCAGCTGTTGGAATACTATTGCAAAACCAGTGAAAATTGAATGACATATTTTCAGGAGGGGCAGTTATGGTACTCAACATTTTGGAATGTTATAGAATGCATACACTCGAGTAAAAGGTCAGCCTTCTTTGAATCTGATGTGATGGTATTATGGTGAGGTTTCAAAGGTGATCAATACTTTTTCGTTTCTGTAGTTTGTTCTGCGGATTTTTATTGTCCTTTTCCCGTTCCTTGTTTTTAATGCTAATTTGTGACAGATGCAGGTGATTGAACTCCCTTCAATGCATGCGACCTCTGTCTGTGGCCGTGTAGAGATTACAGAGACCGGGGAGATAATACGAGTTCTTCAGATAGGGATTAGAGGCTCTGTCGCGTACTGCAGCTGTGTAAAACAGTCTGGCAATTATCCAGGTTCCGGTGTATGCTTCCTTGCAAATTCGCCCTGATTATGCAAAAGGTTATTTAGTGATTGTGATCAGCGATGTTCTGCATGAAAGCTTGGTAATGCACGACGGCTGGCTATCACTATACCATTGTGCCCTTACCATGTGTAATCAAATAAGATGCCAGCTGACAGAAGGGAGGTATTTGAAAACGGAAATTACTACGTTGCACATAGCTCTGATTTGATCTGCAATCGACACCAAACGATCGATACCAATCGTGATCGTATCATCTCAAGCCTTAGTCATGCTGGGATATATACACTCTTTCATTGGAGGCAATTTCACTGCTTGGAAAAGAACCTCCAATCAACAAATGCCGAAGGTTTTGGCAAAGAACGGAACGCCATCATCTGGATAATGTCGGTTCTATGCCAGAGTGTGACTTCCCTTTGAAAATCACAATTGTTAAAATTACGAAAGCACATATTCTTTGATGTCTTTGATGTCGGTGTGTGCCTGTATGTATTACACTGCTTTGATGTATAATGTAGGGGATATCTATGTAATTTTCGTCATTAAGGAACTTCCTA